TCCTGCTACCACATCAACGAAGCTTGATGCTTGTTTCTAGGTACACAGTGCACGAACAAAGCGTAAGAAAGACTAAATACCCTAGGATAAGAAACAAGACGTAAAGGCCTCGCGCACACAGCACGAAGAGAGAAACCCAGACAGAGTAATAACAAATGCTGCAGGGCCTCTCTAGCAGATTTTTCCTGCGGGACGATTGGCTTGACTTGGGGGGCTGTTAGTTGAACGTCTGTTGGCTTTCGATGGTTTTTTATTTAATGTAAATGCAAATTCCCAAGGCAGAAGTCTGCGCAGCTCGAAAGCCAGTGGTGCTCTTGAGCGTGACTGATCCTGCTGCTGCTCAGCTCTTGCTGCTCCTGTCGCCGTCCGCATGCATTCTATAGACTTACATATTTTCTGCTGCAGCAACCATGCAGCGAAGATGCTGCTATGGCGTTCTATGCGGCTTCATACATTCGCTGTACATGGAGAGCGGTGGGGTCTGGCATCGGCCATTGCGCGTATGCTGCGTCTCGCCTTTTCTTATTCGTCGTCATCAAACAACTTGTTTCCGGTTCTCCCTATTTCAGCAACAAGAAAAGGCGTCAACTAACCACACAAAAGCAACAAAAGCTGCTGTTGTTCTCAGCCCGGTGACGGTGAAGACGCGCAGTATCTTGTCAAGTGAAGAGGTACACGGGGACAACAAAAACGTTCGGAAGCTGGCAGATCTTCTACAAGGTTGTTGCTCGACTGTACAACGATGTTGGTGTCGATGTCGCTACCGCATCCGTAGCTAGCCTCGGGGAAACTCAATATTGTGAGGTACGTTAAACTTTGTGGACTGACTACTGTATTGTATGTAACCGGAGGAGAAAACGAGTGACCTGTTATTATATGTGTTACGAGTTGGCCGCTTGTTGCAGCCAGATCAGAAGGACTATGCAAGCCAATCGTTGGCAACCCGTCATGGTCTACATGGGACCCAGAGGAAAGTTCACAGTGTTTAAACGTTTGCAGGCAGGGGGGGAAGTTGCAGTGCGCGTCATAGAATCATAGTACTGGCAGCCCCCGATGTATGTGAGGCAGCCAACAGTATAAACTAGGTGAGGGAGAATAACAAGTGTTATTCGCTGGATATGCTGGATGAAGTAGAGTTAGATGTTAAATGAAGGTGTAAAGGGACAGCCAGCAGTCCCTGTGACGGGATCAACCCGAACCAGCTACCGTCTTTGCCAGCTGGATAGTCAACGGAACACACAGTGCTATTTTTGCTTGTGAATAAGTTGAAGCCACGGAAATGCATGGTTCCGCTCGGCAGCTCCTAAAATTTTCCTTGATGTGAAACCTCTCTCTGCCGTTTCGTCTCAGTTTAGATTGCTGTGGGGACAGGAGCTCTGGTCTCGCTCTCCCCCGTAATTATTCTAGCCACACCCGCCGGAAGACAATCGAAATTGGCAATATAAGTAGAATATATACTATGCCATATTCACTCCCCCCCACTCTCTCCATGATCCGGTCGTACTGTGTTGAACCTCCTAACAGCAGCCCCGGGGGCCCCAGTGTAGTGGCGGGCAATAGGTAGAATGNTCGTACTGTGTTGAACCTCCTAACAGCAGCCCCGGGGGCCCCAGTGTAGTGGCGGGCAATAGGTAGAATGCTGGGCCAGAAGAGCACTCGGAGCTCAGGAAGCTGCACTCTTAGAATTGTATTATAAAACTAAAGAGCAAATACACCCAAAAAGCAATGTTTTATAACTGTTCCATAGTACAGACTAGGCCTCGGGTGCGCTGTTGCTGAGCCTTACTTAGCCTGGCAGCAACAACACGGCCGGAGCCGAGGTTACCCGTACACTGGGACACGGGGTCAGATCCTTTTCTTTGTAGAGAACTTTCTATAAGCAATATATTTTGTGCTTTTAATATATGAATATAGGGTTGCTTGCATCGAGACAGGTACTTTCTAATACAATGCAAAAGGATTACCCCCGTAGGAGCTGAACCGGCTAGTGCACCACCATTTTTGAGAGCAGCTTTATTATTATCCTTCTTCTGCCTTCTTTTTGTAGGGAATAAGACTTGGAAATGAATTTAAGAATNTAGTGTAGTGTGTGCACCTAGACTGTAGGCATATGACAGATGAGTAGTAGCAGCAGAGTGAGCTGTTCACCCAGTACACCTGAGGGGTCGGCAGCGGTGTATCTGTTGCTGCAGCTGATTTGAATAACTCCTGAAGTTTTGTACAATGTAAATATTGAAAGAATGCGCTGAGAGTTCTTTATCTTTTACTTTTTTCCCGGCAGAGCGTCATGGGTTGCAGCGGTGCCGCTGCTGCTTGTGCTGCTGCCTCGGCGTCGTTCCTTTCTTTCCGATGGTTTTAACTCCACCCAACTCTGAATCTGCCTCTGAAGAGGTCAGCCTGTTTGCAGATGGACAAGAATGTGCGTCAAGCACAGATACCCGGGTTTCAGGGGGCTCGCCATCCTCGTGCTGTCGCTCCCCTCGGGGCCCCGGGGCCCCAGGGAAGAAGCTGCTGCAGGCCCTGCAGCACCAAACAGATGGTTTGGAAGCTGAAGAGACAGACAAGCACGACAGCGAACAACCCACTCACGCAGAAGCTGCAGTGCCGGCAGAAGTAGTCATTTCCCAGGCTGGGGCTGCGCANTGCTGCTGCTGTCACCCAGAAAGACACCGCTGCGGGCAGCACGGAGGGGGCTGTTCTGCCCCCCGGCACGAACCGAGTGCCGAGAGGATAAGCAGCAGCGGCAGCCGGTGCTGCTGCCGCACCCACAAGTGCAGCAGCTGGCGTTCATCATGTTCAGCTGTTCAAAGGGAACATCATTCCCCTCCGCATTTCGGAAAATGGCAGAAGATTCTGTGGAAAAAACAGCCGCACCCCGACTGCTATGTGGACGAGACGTTCTTGAACACCCTCATGAGAAACGCGAATCTGACGCGTTATATGTATTCGGATTTGTGCAAATCAACGGTTGTTCTGACGCAACATCTGAGCTGCATTTTAATTTTCTTGCTGGTTTACCGCATGATCGTCAAAAGGTCCCTTGCGGCCTCCACTTTAGTCGTCTTCGACGTCGTATCACTACCCCTGGGCTACGCGCTCCGCTGGTCGCTTCAGCCTGCGCCGCGAGGTGTACATACACTGCAAATATATGAATCGATTGAGGCTGACACTTTTACTTTTCCGCTTTTCCGCCTCCGCGTATGCACGAGTGTTGCTTGCCCTGTATTGTTTNGGCTGACACTTTTACTTTTCCGCTTTTCCGCCTCCGCGTATGCACGAGTGTTGCTTGCCCTGTATTGTTTAGACTTTTTTTTTTTCTTAACTCTCGTTATTCTAGCGGCGGATTCAGCTTTCACTGTATGCGGTTTCTTGTGTTTCAGCTGCACGCCAAGTTTTGCAAAGCGCGATCATTGTGTTTGGCGTCCTGAGGGTAAGCGACACCCACCTCGACTCGGAAACAATCATAATACAGTAGCTGCATGCATACACAGCAGGCGTTTGCGTCTCAGCACTACACAGACGCTTGATGCGCATCCACAGCTGATGAGTAGCGTGTTGAATGATTTGTTTTATGAGAAATCAGAGCACACAGGAGCAGCACTGAAGCTCCAGCGGAAACAACTAGTGTATTTCATCTCTTCTTGAGTTACACCCCATAGCCTTGAGTTCTTAACATCCATTCGTTTCTGCAGCGGCTGCAGAAACGAATGGAGGTTAAGAACTCAGCAGCTGCAGCAGCAGCAACGGAAGCAGAAATACTTACAGCCGAAGCAGCTGTTGCTGCAGTGTGTCTCCTATTCATTTGAAATGCGGCAGCAGTGGCGTCGTTGCTGCCTTTCTAGGGTTTTACCTTCAGGGCGTTTGTGTGTTTGTGTTGCTGCTGCAGATCCTCGCGCCGGTGCTGCAGACCTTGACGCAATCCTTCAGCGACGACACAGTAATTAGCTTGACGTCGAGTGCGTTCAAGCGGTAGAGAACTCTGCACAGAAAACAACTGCTGCAGCGCCTCTCTGCATGCAGCTTGCACGCTTTC